ATTAGCTTCATTCAAATATGTTTTTTTGAGTCTCTTTCAGGTACTACAAAACTCCCGAGAAAAGAAATAAGTGGGTACTAATTTAACACAGTTGAAATACAATTTCTCTCAAAATAATTGCCTTGTTTCTGTGATCTTTTTGATTTGCAACTTTCATCTCTGCAGCACTGTAATATTTTGCCTTGCAGCAAAGAATTAGTTGATTTCTTGTTTTCAGTTTGATTTTTACATGTGTCTTTCACTTTTATTTTCTGTTGTTTTCACAAAATATTAATGTTAGCCGTTATAGTGCAAGAATGGGAATTCTGTTGTATTTGGGTTTGTTTTGTCCTCCAAAGTCAGTAGTTAAGTTAACTCGTTTTCTCATATTCAATTTTCTCGGCTTCCGTGGGACATTTTGTTGTGCGGTAAAGAAATAATATTATTTCTTGTTTTCTTATCAGGTTTGCTCATCAAGTTGAGTTCTGTTGATATTTTTTAATATTTTGGCCCTTCATTTATTCAACTTTAAATAAATGATTTCTTGAAACCTGATCTTGTGTCTGTGGTTACTGCGCATATGGTTTATTTTTGTGCTTTTGCTTGCTCTGAAATATTCCAAAAAATGCTAGGGAATTAGGGGTGGGTCGTGGGCAATTTCATGCAGGTGTCAATGGGTTAAGGATGATGCTTACTTTTGTTAGTGTACACACATTCTGCGCATCATGCAAGGCATAGTTTGCACGCCACGTGCACGCTGACATTGACCTTGGCGCAATCAATTACGCTTCCAAGTATGCGACTAAAATGAAAGCAAAATTTCCCTACTGTGACCAAATCAAGTTAAACCCATCGACTCCTGTGCTGCCCGTAACCAGTAGTGACGACTGTTGACCTTTGTTCCACTTCTGCCATTATCACCTTTGACCAAAATTGGCATCATCTATATACTCAAGTTCTACGGGAGGAAAAGTTCCTTCCAGTGATACCCAGATCAGACTGATCAGCCCAATGGAGCCTGAAATATGCTGGAAAATGCTCAAAAATTTGAGTGAAAAACTAGCAGCAAAATTTCCAGCAACTGCACTTAGGTACTCCATGGTAAAAATTGCCCGTCTCAATGATGCTTTCTCAGAAAGTTTTGAACTGGAAAAAGCCCAGCAGAAGGTCAATCACTGTGCTGAAAGACAAAGGAAAGGCGAAAAAAAAAA